AGGTCATGGCTGGCTGAAAGCAGGTATCTGGGTTTATTTAGCTTCTATAATTGAAACTCTGTTGCCATCACTGCACTCTAAGCTCTGAGGCCCCGGCTGGCTGAAAGCAGGTATCTGGGGTTTGTTTAGCTTCTGTAATTGCAACATTGTTGCTTCCGGAGCTCAGAGCCGGGCCGCGGCAGGCGGGGAACCTTGGCTTCCTCTGTCACTGGAGCAAGCAAGCCTCCTGTTTGCTTCAGCTGCATGGCTGCCCGCTGCCATCTTGGTTGGCAGTTAATTTGCATATCCTGCTGATTATCCAATGGGAAGGGTGTCAGGGTTATGGTCAATTTGCATGTTTCTCTTTTATTAGATAGGATAGTTCTGGAAGTCCTAGTCAGAGCAAAAGGCAAGAGAAAGCAATAAAATGCATCTAAATCGGGAAGGAAGAAGTAAAAGTGTAACTTTTTTTATCGTCTAAAGTTTTCCATATGTCTCCTTTTTCCCCTATTGACCCCACTGCCCAGCCATTCCCACCCCAGGCAAGCCCCCACCGCCCCAATGTCTGTGTCCATTGGTTACGCTAATATGTATGGATACAAGTCCTTTGGTTGCCCTCTAACCCTTCCACTAGACCTCCCCTGTGATTTGTCACTGTATCTATTTTTGTTCATCACATTATGCTGATGATTATATCCCACAAATGAGTGAGATCGTGTGATATTTATCTTCCTCTGACTGGCTTATTTCGCTTAGTGCAGTGGTTGACAAACTGCGGCTCGTGAGCCACATGCGGCTCTGTGGCCCCTTGAGTGTGGCTCTTCCACAAAATACCGACTTCTGCGCATGGGACACAAAGTTTCAAATGCACTGTACATGTGTGCCCACACATGGTATTTTGTGGGAGAGGCACACTCAAGGGGCCACAGAGCCGCATGTGGCTCGCCAGCTGCAGTTTGCCGACCACTGCCCTAGGAGCCCTATCAGTGAAGATATTGGTTTGGCATATGTCTGAGATTTTGCTGCCTGTGGATTCCTCTAAGATTTTTATGGTTTCCTGTCTTATGTTTAAAGTATTTATCTTTTTGAATGGTGTAAGTTGGTGGTCTAGTTCCATTTTTTTTTTGCATGTATCTGTCCAATTTTCCCAATACCATTTACTAATATTGAAGAGGCTATCTTGACTCCATTGTATGTTTTGCCTCCTTTGTCAAATATTAATTGAGTACAGTGGTTTGGGTCGATTTCTGGGTTCTCTATTCTATTCCATTGATCTATATGTCTGTTCTTGTGCCAGTACCAGGCAGTTTTGAGAACAGTGGCTTTTTAATACAGTTTGGTATCTGGTATTGAGATCCCTCCTACTATGTTCTTCTTTCTCAGGATTGCTGCAGCTATTTGGGGTCTTTTTTTATTCCAGATGAATTTTTGGAGAGTTTGTTCTAGATCTGTGCAACATTCCATTGGTATTTTATTTTATTTTTATTTTCTTTTTTGCCATTGGTATTTTAATTGGAAGAGCATTGAATCTATAGATTGCTTTGGGTAGTATGGACATTTTATTGATGTTGAATCTACCAACCTATGAACACAGTATGATCTTCCATCTGTTTATGTCTTCCTGTATCTCTTTTTCAGTGTCCTGTAGTTTTCCAAGTACAGGTCTTTTACCTTAGCTAAGTTTATTCCTAGGTATCTTAATTGTTTTTGGTGCGATGGTAAATGGGATTGCTTTTTTAATCTCTCTTTCAGTAAGTTCACAACTGGTGTATAAAAATGCCATAGATTTCTAGGCATTAATTTAGTATCCTGCTACATTGCCAAATTCACTTACTAAATCTAATAATTTTTTGAAGGTGTCTTTAGGGTTATCTATGTACAGTATCATGTCATCTGTGAATAAGGACAGTTTTACATCTTCTTTTCCAATTTGGATGCCTTTTATTTTTTCTTCTAGTCTGATCTCTATGGCTAGTACTTCCGGTATTATGTTGAACAGGAGTGGTGAGAGTGGGCATCCCTATCTTTTTCCTGTTCTTAGGTGAAATGGTGTTAGTTTTTGCCCATTGAGTATAATGTTGGCTGTAGGTTTGTCTTATAAGGCTTTTATTATGTTGAGGTATGATCCCTCTATTCCTACTTTGTTGAGGGTTTTTATCAAGAAAGGGTGTTGGATTTTGTCAAATTCCTTTTCTGCATCAAATGATGTGACTGTGTCATTTTTATCTCTCTATTTGTTTATGTGATGTATCACATTTAATTGATTTGCAGATATTGTACCATCCTTGCATTCCCGGGAGAAAACCTACTTGGTCATGGTGTATGATCTTGCTGATGTAATACTGTATCCGATTTGCTAAAATTTTTTGAGAATTTTGGCATCTATGTTCATGTGGGATATAGGCCTGTAATTCTCTTTCTTTGTGTTGTCTTTGTTTGGTTTTGGTAGTAGGGTGATGCTGGCTTCATAGAATGAGCTTGGAAGTGTTCCTTCCTCTTGAATTTTTTGTAGTAGTCTGAGGAGGATAGGCTTTAGTTCTTCCTAGAATGTTTGGTAAAACTCCCCTGTGAAGCCGTCTAGTCCTGGGCTTTTGTTTGCTGGAAGCTTTTTGATGACTGCTTCAATTTCTTCCATAGTTATTGGCCTGTTGAGATTTTTAGATTCTTCCTGATTGAGTTTTTGGAAGGTTGTAATTTTCTAGGAATATGTCCATTTCCTCCAGGTTGTCTAGTTTGTTAGAATAGAGTTCTTCATAGTATTTTTTAACAATCCTTTGTATTTCTGTGGGGTCTGTTGTTATTTCGCCTATTTCATTTCTGAGAATGTTTACTGGGTCCTTTCTCTTTGCTTCCTGGTAAGCCTGGCTAGAGGTTCATCAATCCTGTTTATCCTTTCAAAAAACCAGCTCTTGGTTTTATTGATCTTTTGTATGTTTTTTTGTCTCTATGTCATTTATTCCTGCTCTGATCTTTATTATCTCCTTTCTTGTGCTCACTATGGGCTTTTCTTGTCGCTCTCTTTCTAATTCTTTAATTTGTAGAGGTAGATTATTTATTACCATTTTTTTCTTGTTTTTTTGAGAGCTATAAACTTCATTCTCAAGACTACTTTCACTGTGTCCCATAGATTTTGGATTGTTATGTTTTCACTGGAGGCCTGATGCATGAAATTCATACACTGGGCCACCAGGAGGCTCCTGAGAACTGGCGCGAACATCAGCAGGGGCATCCCACCACTCACCCACCTGCCCAGAGGGCTGATCATGTCCCAGCGCCCCCCACCACCCCCACCCCT